TTCTCCTCGTTTATCCACTAATTTCATATCCGTTTGTCAACTTGTTGATAACAATTGCACTGTCTCTTTTTCTTCTTTTGATTGTCATGTGCACGATCAAGTGTTCGGGAGGATGATCATGAGGGGATCTAAGGAGGGACGTCTCTTTTCTATTTCACCGAAGCCTGTTTCATTTTTTCCTATTGTTTGTCATTCTGCTACTTTTGATATTTATGATTGACATAAAAAATTGGGACATCCCAATTCTAATGTGTTACGACAGTTGTTAAACTCTGGTTTGCTTAATAATATGAATTCTGCTTCGATTTCATCTATTTCTCTTGATTGTGCTTCATGTAAACTTGCTAAAAGTAAAATTTTGTTGTTTCCTTCTCATGGTTCTCATGCTTCACATATTTTCGATATTGTTCATAGTGATGTCTGGGGTATTACACCTGTGGTTTCTCATGCTCAATATAAATACTTTGTTACCTTTATTGATGACTATAGTCGCTTTACGTGGATTTACTTTCTTCGTGCAAAAAGTGAAGTTTTCTCTACCTTTCAGTCTTTCCTTGCTCTCGTTCACAACCATTTTCATCCTCAATTAAAATCTTACGATCCGATTCCGGAGGCGAATACATGTCTAATGCGTTCCAATCCTTCTTACAAACCAAAGGTATTATTTCTCAGCGATCTTGTCCTTCTACTCAACAAAACGAAGTTGCAGAACACAAGAATCGTCACCTTCTTGATATGGTTAGAGCTCTCTTGATTGAGTCTTCTGTCCCCTCTCAATTTTAGTGTGAAGCTCTGTCCACAGCTGTTCATCTCATAAATCGATTACCTTCTCCTACTGTTGATAACGTTTCGCCATTTTATAAACTCTTCGATCGTCACCCTACTTATTCTCATCTTCGTCCCTTTGGTTGTGTTTGTTTTGTTCACTTGCCACAACATGAACGAACAAAACTCACGCCTCAATCTATCAAATGTGCATTTCTGGGATATGCGGGGACTCAAAAGGGTATGTTTGCTATGATCCTACGACACGCAGCATTAGGATCTCTCATAATGTTGTTTTCTTTGAAAAGCAATCTTTCTTCCCTTCAGCACTTAGTGTTTCTTCCCCCGAACTCTCTATCTTGCCTGATTTCTCTATAGAATCCTCTCAGTACAAGCCAGGTCTTGTTTACACCCGAAGACATGCTGCACCAAACACTGGTCCTTCTATTGAGACGGCTACCTTCTCGAACCTCCCTGATCCTCCATCTTCGACATCAGATCCTACACCAGATGATCTTCCACCACCAGTCCCTCTTCGCCACACTTCTCGTGTTTCTCGACTAACAGATAGATATGGTTTTTCCTCCTATAGCTCTATGATTGCCACCCTTAACTCAATTTCCATTCTTTCTTCCTATAGACAAGCTATGGAACAAGAGTGTTGGCAACAGGCAATGAATGCAGAACTTGAGGCTCGAGGCCAACCAAACTTGGGATGTTGTACCTTGTCCAAAGGGCGAGAAACCTATTGGAAGTAAATGGGTATATTCAGTCAAACTTCGTTCTGATGGCTCTATTGAGTGCTATAAGGCTCGACTGGTTGCCCTATGCAATCGTCAAGAGTATGTCATCAATTATGAAGAGATATTTGCTCCTGTTGCTAAAATGACTACTGTTTGCCTATTGCTATCTCTTTCCGCTTCTCAGTCATGGTCTATACATCAAATGGATGTAAAAAACGCATTCTTACATGGGGATCTTAAAAAAAGATATTTACATGAAGCTTCCATCCGGTATACCTCTTCCCTCAGCTGACTTTGTATGTATACTAAAACGTTCTTTGTATGGTCTTAAGTAGGCCCCTCGAGCATGGTTTGACAAGTTTCGTCGCACTCTCTTGGATTTCTCCTTTACTCAGAGTTAATATGATGCATCCTTGTTTCTTCAAAAGAGTGCTGCAGGAATTGTTCTCTTGTTGGTCTATGTGGACGATGTTATTATTTCTGGATCTGATCATGCACTAATTCAGAAGCTTCAGGAGCATCTACCCTCGGTTTTTCATATGAAAGACCTTAGCTATCTGACTTACTTTCTTGGTTTAGAGGTTTTTACTACACCACATAGTATTTTCTTGAATCAACATAAATATATTCATGACTTGATTCGGTTAGGTAATTTTTCTGACGCCTCTTCTGTTGACACTCCATTGGAGCTTAATGTCAAGTATCGAAAAGATGAAGGTGATATTATTCTAGATCCTACTCTTTATCGGAAGTTGGTAGGCAGTCTTATATATCTTACTATTACACGTTCGGATATTTCCTTCGCTGTCCATACTATGAGCAAATTTATGGATGCCCCTTGACATCTCCATTTGGTAGCTGTTCGCCGCATTATTCACTACCTTATTGGGACTCCTCATCGTGGTTTGTTTTTTCCTAGGGGGACTCCTCTTGTGCTTAACGATTATAGTGATGTTGACTGGGCTGGTTGCCTTGATTCTCGTCGTTCTACTATTGGATGGTGTATTTTTTTGGGAGATGCTCTCATCTCTTGGGAATGTAAGAAACAAGATTGTGTTTCTAAGTCTTCCACTGAGGTTGAATACCACGCTATGTCAGCTGTATGTTTTGAGATTGTGTGGCTGCGTAGTCTTTTCTCAATCACAGACTACACCTCTACATGGTGACAACACCAGTGCTATACAGATTGCTGTTAATTCTGTGTATCATGAACGTACCAAACATATTGAAGTGGACTGTCATTATATTCGAGATGCCTATGATTCCATGATCATTACTTTTCCTCATGTCTCCACTACTCAACAAGTAGCAGATATTTTCACCAAGTCCTTGACTCGTCTCCGTCATAATTTTCTTGTTAGCAAATTGATGCTTGTGGATTTCCCAACATCAATTTGAGGGGGGGGTATTAGATATTATTGAGTTTACTTAGTTTCCAAAATAGAATCTTGACAAATCACGTAATGATTTTAGGGGATTTTCATTCCAATTGTACATATTTTCTTTCCTTTCTTTGGACCTCTGTAATACTATAAAAGGATTTAATACATATGTGAAAATCATTCAGCAAAATTGGCACGAACTTCATCGCGTTGAATTTTGCAATTGTAGAACTCGCTATCTAAAATCGACTGTCTGATACCAGTTGTTGGATTTTATGCGCAATTATGAAGAGATGAAAGAGAAAAATCAATACAAGTATTTACGCGGTTTGGCGATGTGCCTACATCCACGAGAAGCGAAGTGGAGATAATTTTTATTTTGTATGAATAATAGGTTTACGTCATTAGTATTCGTATTAACCCAAGCCCATAATAGACTTTACACTGTATTGGATTTACAATTGGGCTGTTGCAAATGCTAAAGAATCAAGAGTCATCAGATGATAAACACATTGTCCTTTTGCATCTTATGTGGATTTCTCCACAGGCAAGGTATATATCTCACGACATGTTTTCAATAAGGAGTCTTTTCCTGCAAGTCAAATTGATCATTCTCATGTTCCTGTGTTGAGCAAAGTCCTGAAGGGTAAGTCTTCTGGTGAAACTAGTGTGAATAATGTTCCTTGTTTTGCAGATTTGTCTACTCCTACACTCACTGCCAACATCTCTCCTAGTCTTACTCAACGCTAACCACAAAGTACAGAACAACCTACCTATAATTTCAAGTTGGATATCGGGAATACTCCCAATGATTTACCACCTGATTCATCCCCACTTGAATCCTATTCTCAGGATAGAATTGATGTACCCTCTCTAGACACGCACCTTAATAATCATCCTTTACCTATCCCTACCACAACTTTGGCTATAGAATTACCTATAGATTCCACATCTCAACCAAACAACTCTCATTGAGTTGTCACCCGGTCTCAGACAGCCCTGTCCTTCTTTCTCCCACGATCCTGGTAGCCCTTCACGATTAATCCTTCACCCATTGAACTTTCTCTAGTACGTAGTTTCACGATCAACCCGCTCTGTTCTGTTTGGTGCACTACGCTCCTCTCACTCAGCTTCTCTTCGCTTCGGTATCGGTCTATTTGATCTAGTAAACACATATTCCACTCAATATGAATCTCACACACAACATCCTAACCATTTTTTTCTCTCCTCCTTTTAATTGCTTCCCTTTCATTAAAATGAAGATAAATTTGTGACTAAATTCTTATATAATGGTTGATTATTAGATTATTTATGAATTTCAATAGGTTTAGGTACTGATAAAATTAATGTTTTATCAATGTATTTTTAATTTTTCCGAAAGGTGGTTTTTTCCCTTTTTAATTAATTATTATTGCATGGGTCGATTGATGGAGAGTTATGTTTACTTTTCATTGTGAGGAGTATTTGTGCCATTTTTTCATATGAAATTATGATATGAATTCAATTATTTCACTTGGCTTTAATTTTATATAGTGTGATACCTTGATGATTATATACAATATATTTTAATTAAATTCTGTTAAAATCTTTTAACTGAAGTCTATGAAAGTTACTAAAAATGTATAAAAGTTCATAAAAATCTATGTCAATCTTTATAAATAGAAGTCTATAAAAATTTGTGAAAATCTTTCATAATTCTGTAAATCTAAAAAATTCAACAAATGATCGTGAACTCCACAAAAGTCAGTCATTTAAAAAGTCAATAATACTATTTGAAATTCTCAATTGAGTACATCCCCCTAGATGAATTTCTTCAAAATTGAATTATAAAGTAAAACATTCAGAGTTTATATATTTTTATTTTTTAAGTGGGAGGGGGGAGGTTGTAAGGGTTGAATTTTAATTATATATGTCCTCTGATCCTACTATTTTACATGGAATTTCAGCTATATTTATCTTTAGTGCATCACAAGGTGTTTTGAGGTTACTTTCTCTTGTGTTGAGTAATTAAAATATCTGGACAGTTTAATATCTTAATATGCATGAATCAACAAGGCGGCCCTGCTTTATGAAGCCTTACAAATGTTCTCTATTGGACCTGCTTCTATAGGTACCATGGTATGAGAACGGAAATTTTGTGGGTCCTACTATTATGTGTAATGTTACAGCCAACATGGATTGCTACAAGGTAATATTTTACATTCTTTAATTTTTATAATCTTTTACATCTTTTGCATCCTTTAATTTTTATGTTTTCAACACAAATAAAGATAAGAAAAATTGGCAATAGATGATTTGAATCAATGAATTTAAAAATTGTTGATGGTCTTGTTGTTTTGGCTTAGCAGGAAGACATGCTTGGGCCCGTTCTTCTTTGTATGCAGGTGTCCTATTTTTGATGACCTGTTCTTTGTTATGATATATTAATCCATTAGCAGGGTTGGTTAATGTACAATATATTTTTGACTACTGCCAGGCTGAAAGCTTAGAAGAAGCAATAGCCATTGTTAATAGAAGCAAGTAAGCTTTTACTTTCCATTTTTTTATGTATTGTCATCAAGGGTTCCAGATTACATTATCTGATGGGCTTCTTTTTTGTTTTGGCATGTTAAAACATGGCTTGTTTAATGAAGCCTCTTGATAAACCTTACCCTTTCAGTCTTTCTCCCCTTTCCCTGTTCTCCACATGAGTGGACATGAAAAAATATGAATCCTGTGGTAGCTGTGACCCTGAAACTCAAAAGAAAGACTTAATCTTGGAGTTCGTGGAGATGCTGAGGGATATTCATGGGAGACTTGCCATTATAGCATCAACTTTAGGCAGAAATATAATGGATGATATTTTGATTTCCATATAAGTTTTATCTTATGTAATTTCCTATTCTGTTGATTTCATAGCTTTTCTTTGCTGGAGATTTGAAGTATGCAGAAGACAAAAAAGAATACATTTGACCTCTCTCTAACAATTTAAGCTTTTAGACGAGATGGTTTACATGGTATTATACCCCAGCAAAATACTTAGGTTTAGGTCTTACCTCACCTATTTATGAAAATTGTGCTCGTATATGACCTTTGATCAAAAAAGGAATCCGGTTTGCATATTCGGGGGCATGTTGAAGAGAAGGTTTAGATGAATACATGTGGCCCCTCTCTAACAACTTTAAGTTTTGAGATGAGATGGTTAACAACCGCAGTATGTGTAAGGTTTTTATGTTATAGATGACCTAACAAAATCAATTTATATTGGTATTGGTATTCCTTCTCCCAAATTTTCTCTATATTCTTGTATTCTCTATAGTCTATACTGAGCTGTGTCAGCTTTATTGTAGATCCTGCTAATCTTGTATTAAAAAAAAACGTAAAGAGCTCATTTGTCTTGCCCGTAATCAGGCCTTGGTTAATTTTTTTCCCACGACAATACTTGGTTTCCATTTGTTATAGACATGGAAATGGAGCTTCCATATTCACTTCATCAGCTGTTTACGCTTGGAAGTTTCAAAATGAAATGATCACAAAAGGAATCTGGTTTGCATATTTGGGGGCATGTTGAGGAGAAGGTTTAGATGAATACATGTGGGCCCTCTCTAACAACTTTAAGTTTTGAGATGAGATGATTAACAACCGCCAAGTATGTGTAAGGTTTTTTTGTTATAGATGACCTAACGAAATCAATTTATATTGGTATAGGTATTCCTTCTCCCAAATTTTCTCTATATTCTTGTATTCTCTATAGTCTATACTGAGCTGTGTCAGCTTTATTGTAGATCCTGCTTATCTTGTATTAAAAAAAAAAACGTAAAGAGCTCATTTATCTTGCCCGTAATCAGCCCTTGGTTAATTTTTTTCCCACGACAATACTTGGTTTCCATTTGTTATAGACATGGAAATGGAGCTTCCATATTCACTTCATCAGCTGTTTACGCTCGGAAGTTTCAAAATGAAGTTGAAAATGGGCTGGTAATCCAAACCTTTTCATATGGCATGTAGCTCCAAGATTATTGTTGATGATTCATCTCTGCCAAGTTTGATATGATCTGAGCCTATGTAGGTCGGCATCAATGTTCCTGTTCCACTTTCATTGCCATTTTCTATGTTTAATGGTTCCGAGGCTGCTTTTGCCAGTGATCTTAATTTTTGTGGTACGCACTCTCTTCATGCTCTTTCGTCGCATATTTTTAATCCATCTCCTCCTCGACCTAGCCTCTTTATGCTAGAATTTCTACCTTTTAGCAACAAAAAAGAAATTTCTTGATTTTGCAGGGAAGGCAGGTGTACAATTTTTCACACGAATAAAATCAGTAGTTCAACAGTGGAAGGAATTACCAGGACGAAGGGTGTCATTCCCTTGTCCACCTCCGTCTGAGACTGAAATAAGCAGTCAAGAAATAGCCATGACACAACCTCCAACTTACGAGAGTGATGTGAATGGGTGTGAAATGTCACCAGCTATGCCTCCACCATCTGAATTACCAAGTCATGATGTGTCCCTATCCTTTCTGCCAACATCTGAAGACGAGTTGGCAAACACAGAGGGATTTCTTTCTATATCATCTACAGCTGAAAGAGAATTATCAAGTCGTGAAGCGACAGTACTAATGCCTCCAGAAACAGCCATGGATGCAAGAGACAGAGGGCCCACGTCCATGCCTCCACCTCAAACATCTCGACTGGGAGAGACTACTCTTGCATTTAGGCAGAGTGAAAATATGTCGTCTGGTGAAGGAACATATATGGCTCTAACCTCTCAGAGGATTAGCAAATTTTCTCCTCCGATTCAAGCTATGGACATTAATGTTGCTGCCACTCCCATGTCTGAGAGATCATACATTCCTATCAGGTGCAGTGATGATGGCGTGAGTCCAATGCCTCTGAGGAATGACAGTATCTGCATGATGTCGTTTGGGCATGATTTGCATAGAACAGATTCTGACAGGATATATATGCCTCTATTTTCTCAACAGAACGAGAACGTCGTTCCAACATCTCAACGACCAGACATGATATATCTGTCTACTTCTCATGGGAATGATGATGTGGGCTTGATCAGTTTGAGAACAGGGGCTTCTGTGCATCCAGCTCCTGGGAGTTTGTGCATGTCTGCATCTTATAAGACTGACACGGTACCACCTCAGACAACAAATACAGTGCATTCAACTTCCGAGATGTATTTACAGTCAGCAGTTCAGAGTAATGATAGCACAGCATCTACATCCGAGAGTATATTTGTCCCAGCAACTTCTCAGGGAATGTATATCCAAACTCCAATAGTATCAATGGATGAATATCGTGGCCAAGTTGCATCCCAAACTCGTCAGACATCTAAGCAAGAATAGGATTCAACGCTGGATGTTTTTAGTTCTTTTGGGAATTTGTTACTTGGTGAACGGACAATTTTGATGATCGAGTCTTCCTCTTTATATGCTGTTTTTGTTCTTCAGTTCGACACTTGTATTTTCGTCTTACGAGCAAAATGTGAGCCCCTCTTCAATATCTCACATTATTAATTAGCTATTTACTTCAGGGAGAACACTGGCTAGATTTTGAGTTTCCTTTGGAGATGAAGCTGTTTCTGCTATTGAGAATGAGTGAATTCAGGAAATGGATAGTTCTGGGAAGATACACGAGACAAGGCTATGATAGACTCTACCTGAATCTCACTATATTGTGCACAAACTTTTTCGTCGTTCAATTAAGACCTTAATGCACAGGACAATATTCAGTGTAAAATTATAACGAATTGAACTGGTAGATGATATTACGCTAGATTAACGTGGATGGTATTCTTTAATTTTTTATTCAAAAGAATGCCATCTACTATATTTTTTTCATGAATTCTATATATTTTGAACCAACTTCTCATTGCTTATTTAAGACTGTGATGGGGAAAAAAATTAGTGTAAAGTTGTAATGAATTGTACTAGATGGGAAACATTTTGGTGGATTTAGGTGTGTGATAACATTCTTGGATTTATTATTCAAAAAGAATGTCATTTACTATTTTATTTTTATCCTAAATTTATTTCCAGCGTTTGCATTATGTTATACGGTTAATAATGCAAAGGACTTTCTTTTGAAAACAACTTATTTTTTAAAGAATAATACTATTTGCAATCGTTCACTGCGGCAGTTGTCCTACGTGGTATACACATGACAGGTGGTTATTTGATGCATTAATGAATAAAAAAATTACCATATTAATGCATCAAATAATCACTTGCCATGTGTATGCCACGTAGGGCGACTATACTCTTTTTTAAAAGGAGACTGAGTTATGAGCATGAAACCTCTTATTACTTGTGCAAACGAACAAATTACAATTGGATTATTCAAAATATAATATTTTGTTGTGAATCACATGGAGTGATATTATATTAAAGTTAGAATTTCATTCAAATTGGAAAATGTAATAGAAAATAGTCATGTTCAAAGGTAGGTTCGTTAAAAGAAACCTTCTAAATGAGAAGTGAAACTTGGCATAGACACGTAATGGTATATGTGATTTAAAATACCTACAAAATTGACTCATTATTAATAACTACTTAAAATAATAATATGTTTTATTTGCAAGTTTGTTGTCACTAAATATTTAAGTATTTGATGTTTGTTATGAGGTATAATAATTAAGTTAAATATTAATGCATACACACACAAATGTTCTAGCTAGTACGTGCAGCTTGATTGACAATGAAAGAGATTTGAATGTTTGAACGTTAAGCATTTTAAAATGAAGAAAAAGACGTTGATGGCCCGGGCATTCGAAAATTCTATCCATCAAATAATTGGAGTAATTGAAACATTGTGACCAAGTCATACCAATTCAAGGATTTATTTTTTTTATATTATTATTATTATTTATTTGAATACTGAGGTCCTTTCTAATATTTTTTAACATGATAAGTGAAACCTCTATAAATTAATAGCCTTGAACCATGAAAAAATTATTAATTTTAATGAATATTATATAATCAATAAAATAATAATTTATTAATTTATCAGTTAATTAATAAATTGTTTATCAAGGTATTCCTTATTTTATTAAATAGTGTGCATTGTATTTAGTTTCTGATCTTAACAACTCCAATTTTTTGTATTTGTTTAATCAAGTAAAATTCATGAATCTATTTATTTGTCTCAAAATAGGTTATATTATTCAATGTATTACATTTTTCTTGTGGCGGAGCAAGGAAGTTTTCTTTGAGAAACCAAAATCTTGTTCCAATCACAAGATTTCAAGCTATGCTCTTCATTGGGATAAGTTCTTAGCATAATTTTGAAGTATTAATGGTGAACTTCACAGGGCATAAATATTGTTTAACTGTAAGATCAAAATAATGAGCCAAAGATGGCTACTGGAATTGAATTTAATAATCAGATTGTTTTTTTTTTCCTTTTAATTTTGCTTTAGCATTACATATTTGGCTTATTTTTTAGCTTTGTTCTTCACTCGTCGATTAGGTTCTTGGCACAATTTCGGTTAGATTTTTGGCTTAAACCTATAGTTGGACCACTCAAATGATGGCGGTTGTATACAAAAGATTTCGTCTTTCTTCCATAGATATCAATTGATTTTCAAATGAGATGATTATGGTTTGATCTTACAAATAGTATCTTGAAATTTCTTCAATGTTTATTTCTACACACGTCAATCGAATCACTGTTTCGAGAAATACGAGACATCTAAGTCATACAAGTAAAGAGATCTATTCCTTCCATCATAGCAATTGTGTGTGTGTGTGTGTGTGTGTTTTTTTTTTTCTTCAAAATGTTTAAAGCTCAATCCTATAAGCACAAATCTCTCACCCTTAACGGTGGAAGAGTTGAATCACGACCTTTATAGAATAAGATGTCAACTCTTAATCAATCGTCGTGAATAACAATTCTTGATTATAATACAAGTCATGCCACACTACATCTCTCTAAGGAAAACCCCTACTATAAGTAATCACTATGTAATTGTAGGCATCTAGTCGCTCATTTTAATAATAAATTAAGTATAACACACATTTGAAATTAACCAATAATACATCAAATGCATTACGGAAAATCCTATATTTTTTTTGTATGGAATCCATGTACCAAAATCAAATATTTATAAAAAAATTCACGTGAAATTCTTTTTGTCCGCATAATTTACAAAATACATAAACGTAATTTGAAATACAATGAAATCTATGAATACTATTGATAGACATAAAATATTGAATGTCGTGAACTGCAGGGATTCTTAAAAGGAGAGATGTTTCTATTTGATCTATCACTGTTCCTTTTTATGGAAAGGTCTAAATTGTCCTTAATGAAATTATTCTTTCTATATTACAACATATGTCCTAATCTTTTAATCATTTTATCTTCTATTTACTCTATTTTGGATATTTAAATATAAAATCATTCTATGATCTAATAAATAAGAATAATCTGCAACATACATATCATATTTTCTTAATAAAATACCATCTTCTTCAAATGGTAAATTTATATTTTTTAATTGAGATATAATTTTTATTATTTTTTCTAACATTCTTTCTAATAAATTATCTAATCCTTCAATTGTATATATCCTGGCGTTTATCAAAATAATCATCATGCAACTGTCCTTGCGATTCTTTTAAGATCTTCAAAAGATTCATTCTAATGTTAGCAAAAGTTTAATAGTTTTACCTTAGGTTTGATCTAGATCTTTATTCTTAGAATCGAGTAACCTTTGAACTCTGAATTTGTAAACTGCTTCCTTCAACGACCTCCTGCCTTCACGGAATTATTACTATTTTAGCTATTTGCTCACACTGTATCAACTTCTAAATAATAAAATTCTAAACCTCTGTTAAAGAAAACTCTATTTTTGCTAAAATAAGAAGAAAACTTTCTATTAGATCCTTCAAGAATTTATGGGAAAAAGATTTAGAAATTTATATTGATATCAAAATATTGGAATTTTATTTCTATCAGGATTGATACAAGACTTCTATTTGGTACAAAGGGATTTCCAAAAAAACTGATTTTTCAAACTGAGAATGGGTTATTGCTTACAACTCAAGAATTCAAGATAAGATGAGATGATTTTCTTCTATGGTAATCTCTCTATCTATACAAGTTTATGAGACTCTATTATATCATTGATTACATCAGCAGAGGCACTCTTGCCTCTCTATTTTCCTCTTTGGGCCTACATCTTCACGTGTTAGTTCATCTTTTCTATCCAAAGAGCATTTTTTTTTCTATTATTGCTTTTTATCTTCAATGTCTTCACATGTAGTATTATTGTCCTTTATACACCTTTATCAAAAGGTGCTTTGTCTTATTCTTTCATTTCTTCACATGCAGTTGGGGCACTCCTTTAGTTGGCAGGATTCTTGTATAGTGGTAGGATATTCTGAAAATTGATGTATATCAAATCTTGTAATATAGTCTTTTAAAATTTTTGATTTTGCATATACTCCATTGGATACCAACATCCAATTTTCATATTGGCACAGGTACGAGAATTTTTTATCAAACAAATTTTTGACAATGTTGTAGATGGTTTTAATTTCAAGTGCTCTTTTATGTCTGATCCATGATTTTGTCACTATTGAGACTTTTCTATTATTCTTTGTAACATCAATTTGAAAATCGACTGCAATATATTCAATTGAGATTATGTGTTCAACTGGATAGTAAATAACTCCATCATATTCTGGACTGATTGAATAGAATTTTAAAAATATCTTCCTTCTCATGACAAATTTGGATACTTCCTTAATGAATATGTCATCAAACTTTGAAATTTCAATAAAATCTTTTCTGGATAAATCAAATCCATGATTCCATAGTTTGTCATGATTTTTATAAATGAAGGGCCGCCTCCTTCTATGGCTGTTATTCTAGGGTAAATATTATTTCTTGGAGAAATGAAATATGAATCACTTATTTTTATTTCATAAGCGATTTTGACTATTTCGACATATTTTTCTTCGTTTGGATCTAAAGAGATTTTATCTTCTTGGTCTATGATGCTGATTGTTTTGGTATCTCTTTTATTTCCATGTATCATAACTTTTTTGGTTGATGATACAGAAATGGAATCTCCTTTATTATCAGTTGATATGTTATCACGTCTGGGTCCACTGCTGCTTCCAGTTGTCTCTGTTTGGTATTGATTTGAAAAACTCATTTCTGAGCTCTTTGGTATATCTGTTTCAAACAGTATATTTTTTAGTTGTGCCGTAATAGCATCAACTTGATTTTTGAGTTCTATAACATATTTATGATGCTCAGTAGTGATATTTAACAATATTTTCATATTTGAGTTGAACATCTCTGAGATTTGGGTTGCTCCAAAACTTATATCTTCAGATTCTTTTTTAAGAAAATTTTTCCTTCTTGTATATGTATAATAGATTGGTATAACTCCATAGCCTTGACTTTATCTATCAGCAAATTCTATGTTTCTGCTGAGAAAATCTGCAAGAAAATTATTAATCCTTTAATATGGACTATCAAAATTATAAAATGCTAAATAAACTTACCATATATGAAACCTTTTGTATTGTGGTTCTGAGGGTAACTTATTCCTGACTAATCCTGCAACTTGAGAATTATCAGTTTTAACAATAAATTTCTTGAATAATAAAAACAATGAGAACTTTTTTATTCCTTTACTAATTGCTAGTAATTCTTTTTCATGAATAGTATAATTTATTTCTGCTTGGTTAAAGGTTCCACTTGAGTATCTACAAATTTCATTGAGATCTATTTTTAATATTGCTGCTCAATATTTATCTGAAGTATCAGTATTAACAATCAAATTATCTTTTTTATCTGGTAATCTTATTTTTGGTAAATTTTTGTATTCTTCTTTTAATGATTTAACTATTTCTGTATGTTCTTCATTCCATTCCTTAATATTTGTTTTTCTAATTAAAACTTGGATTTTATGTCTTTTTTTTAGAAAGATTTTCAATA